CACACACACACACACACACACACACACACACACACACACGCGCGCGCGCGCGCGCGCGCTCACCTTCGCACAACAGCAACTCCAACCAGAGACCATGAAGAGACTGACTGCTGCAGCATTTTCGGTGGCCTGCTGCAAGGGCATCACAGAAAGATGCATGCCCCTTGTGAGGGCATTTCGAGGAGGTACCGACGAAACGCCATCCGCGGTCCGGTAAGGGCATAGCGGAAAGTTGTGCCCCATGCTGACAGGGGTCTGCAGAAAACTTCAGAGGCCCCGGGGGCAGGGCAGGGTAAGTCGGCGATCAGAGTGGCACGTGGCAAATGAATGGAAATTTCAGGGGCATCTCGAAAATTTTCCAGTTTTGTTTTTCTCTCAGCAGAGGTCTGGGAAGTGAACGCCAGGTAGTCCTAGTGTCGGCACGGGTCGGCATGCTGGTAGGTCGCGGCTCAGACTTGATAGCTTTGCCAAGTACTGGTGGTTGAAGCGGATGCATGTTGCCCCCGGCCTAATAGGCAGTGTTCAGGGAGTAGGGTGGGGCCGCCGGTGGCGGGTTCGGCTAACACAAAGACCCAGCAAGCAGCTGCGCCTCCCATATACTTCCCCCATCCCCCATCGAGTAGCAGCAGTGGCTATGGCCAACACTCTCCCACACCCACTTACACTCACACTCACACCCGTGTTGGTCATAGACTATACTAATACCGGTCAGGGGTATCAAGCGGACCATCACAGTAGGATGACACGAAGTGCGCCGAAGGTGGCACGGGGTTCGAACCCCCAACCTCCTGTGGCCGCTGGAGACTCGTCAGGTAATTGAATTGGCTGTGCTCAAAAGAATTAGCCTTTTGTTTTTGGAAAAAATGAAAGAGAGTGAAAGTGGTGGAGCTGGGGGCGGGGTTGAGGGGTGGGCCTGAAATAATAACGCCCTGGCAGCGCGCGGTGGCTGTGTGGTTGGAGGGGGTATCCCGCGGGTTTGCGGCACACAAGGACTCTTCTTGACGGAATCTGGACGTCATTGGGTCAGGTACATAATTGCGGAGTGCACGGTGTCAATTTACTTTTGCTTGCGTAGTGGACTATTCGCGGCCCAGTAAATGTATGTGTGTGTGTGTGTGTGTGTGCGTGTGTGCGTGCGTGTGTGTGTGTGTGTGTGTGTGTGTGTGTGTGTGTGTGTGAGAGAGAGAGAGAGAGAGAGAGAGAGAGAGAGAGAGAGAGGTCCCCACTGTTA